TCCAATTGAATATTCCCACTGTAATTTGTTTGTCCTATATTTTATACACAGGAATTTAGGACAATATAACGCCTTCCTTTAAAAACAAGCAGTTTTCCCTTCTGGCCACGGTAGCATAATAGAATACAATTGTGATCCTGGCGGGCCTGGAAGGGCCTGTGGAGGCTGCAGCCTCTCCTTCCTCGCAGCTCTGGGAGCTTCCTTCATACACCGTGCCTTGCTTGGACTGTGCCTGTTTATAGCACTGGGGGAGGAAGAAACAAAGCAATTGTGAAGCTTGTTAAGAGGCCGTTCATACGATATTAAAGGTGACCTTGCCATTTCCAGTTCTATTTATTCCACTTCCTTCCAAACCGGGGCAAATCCTTCCTTTCAGGGCAAGAGCACCACTCTGTGGATACGGTCTGTGGGAACAGAGAAGAGTTCAAGCCCTCAGAGGTTATTCATTACCCTAGTCTGGAATTAGAGTATTTCCCATTTACTCCCATGTCGGGTCTGTAAATCACTGCTACTTGGCAGAAGAAGAACTTTGGTGAAAAGCAGTTTTTGTTGTTGTTTACTGCAAAAAAAAAAAAAAATCATCCACTTCAGTGAGGTTTAATTTCACCACCCTAGTTAACTTTTTCAAAAAAAGTAATGATCCCCTCCTTCCCTGAAATTGTGTATACATGCAAGGATTCATACATACCTACACACATAAGAAGATCTATATGATGTGGATTCTCGATGTATTTACATATATATATATATATGAATTTCTTTTTTGAGCTTGGCCATCAGACGGCCTGCAAATATTCATCACTCAAACACCTAACGCTGTGAGAAAGGGAACCAGAGTTCACAGTGCGGTCTCAGCTGGTTGTTGTGGTGGTGTTCTGTGCTGTAGTTTGTTGCATTCCTCAGGAAGTAAAGGCATTTCCTGAGGCCCCCTGTGAAAGCCAGCAGGTGTAATGCTAAGTGAAATAGCACATGTAGGTATGGGTTAGACTAGGTGGGAGAGAAAATGCAAGACTCAGGCTTGACTATTTTGAACAGAAGTTCAGCTGCTCAGCTTAATAACTTCCTCGTGGACAGTGTCAAGGCATTTGCACCGGCAACATAAATGGAGTTTCCACTGTATATTCAATCTGGGAATGTATAAATCAATGTGCATCATTAAAACTATTCCTTTTTTCTCCACTGAGAACATTCTATTTTTATTTTTCACCTCAACTGTATGGATAGTCCTAATCTCTTCATTTTGTGGACAAGTGTGCTGTTTTTTGGACAGATATTGTTGAGATGGTATAAACGACTGGTAACTTACCAGAAGTGCTTACTTCTTCGCCAGGTCTTCACCCAGTTCTCCCTCTTGGTTACAATTCCAATCTTCCCCTCTTCCACTAAATGTTGGGGTGATGGGTGGGGGTTGACAGTGGGAAAGACTGCAGTTGGTTTTACTATCCTGGTCTCCCCCGCCAGTCTTGGTCTTTCCTGTTCTCATCTGATGGCTCATGTGGAAGGTTTCAGCCTGAGTTCTCATGCCACATAAAAAATCAAGGAGCATCTTTAGCACTTTTCAAGTTCATTCCACGTCTGCAGAGAACATTAGCATCTAGCTCCTAGTACACTCCCTCTGCATTCACTTACTCGCTCATTTAGTCAGTCGACAACCATTTACCCAGCATGCTTCATAACTACAGGGGATAAAACTCTGAACAAGATTGGCCCCTGCCCTCAAGTTGTGAAAATCTAGTAGAGGGGAAAAATATATATACATTTATATACATATATATATATATATTCCAATAATTCTAACACAGGAAAGAGAGTAAGAAAAATCATAGAAGATAAACAAAATGCTATGAGGGTATGGATGGGTGATCAAGGAGAACATCACTATAACATGGTGTAAGGCGGTTTACAGAATTGAGTCTTCTGGAGGTAAGACCTCAGAGATTGAGGAAGGGCATTCAGACAGTGGGAAAAGCACAGGAAAAGGCAAGGAGGCAAAGAAGTGTACAAGGTCAGTCCAGGGCACAAATAGCAAGTAGTCCTATCTGGCAGAAGCACAGATTATCTGAAGAGGAGAAAACAGAAGGGAGGGCATTGGCCTTGAGTAGAATTACTAACCTAAAACACTCAAGAAGGTTTTCCCAGGCCACAAGGCATGCTTTCTAGGCATAGTGGATTACCACTGTTCCCTTTCCTAGCATAATACCTTTTATATTTATTAACCTATTATTGGGCATTTAGTTCTTAACTATTTTACCCAATAATAAGCAAAACACTGATGAATATTTTTGTACGTGAGTTTTTGCATATATGCATCCTATTCCCTTGGAATATATTCCTAAGAGACTTGATGGGCTATAGGACATGGATTGTCCCCAGCCATGGTGAACCAAGGAGTACTCCACAGGTAGAAGGAGAAGGCCTGTCCCTCCAAACCTCCCCAACACTTGGTAGTCATTTTAAATCTTTAACAATTTGACAGATCAAAAACAATGACTAAATTGTTATTCTAATTTTCATTTCTTTGATTACTAATAAGGCTAAACATTTCAATCAAATATTATTAGCCATAAAACCAACATATAAAGTCCTTTAAATTGGATTTTATTATTAAGAAATGAACTAAGAAGAATACATCAGGTTCATTTGCATTTTGCTTCCTGAAATGAGACTGCAAAATTATTGATCACGAAACTGCATCTCCAGGAAAATAGGGGAGGGTGGCCTGATTTTCCCATTGATTGCACCTTCCCTCATCTTTGGTCTTCATTTGACCGGGAACAGCTGGCCTTTGAAAATTGGCCACGCAGTAATGCATTGTACCAGAACCCCAGTCCTACGCCTTATCTTAGGCTCTTTGAACCCTGACCTCTTCTTCCAGCTCTTTGAAGCCTCATTAAAATTTATTCCTCTCCAAAGGCATGTATCATATTTTGTTTCAAATAGGTACTTATCTTTCCCTTCTACTAAGTTATAAGTTTCTTTGAGAGTAACTTCATCATACACATGTTATCTCCTATAATGGCTAACACAATGCCTCCAACATTTCTGAATGGAAATAAATGTCACAGTTTAAAAAGTATTTATTTCCTTTTCTTAAAAACACTTCTCTTTTGTTGTCATTGGGATCTCTTATTCTTGGAAAAACTTCCCCCAACATGAAAACAAAATCTCAAAAAAAAGATATAACCAAATTAAATACCACAATGAATTAAATAATGCCCTTAATATATAAGTAACATCCAAAGAGGGTATTTACTCCTTTCTAGAAACTCTCCCTTTCATGGCCCATCTGTCATCACATTATCTTGTATTCTAGTGGATGCAAATAAGAACTTATTTTTAAGGTAAATTAAATATGGTTTGATGTTTGAACCCAGTCTTTTTTTTCTTTTGATTCACAAATAACTTGAGGTATTTTTTTTTTCATATTTAAAGATTGTTTATTTAAAAATCCCAGGTTGAAGTATTTTCTAAACGTAATTCACATTGTATTTCTCCACTGAAAAGGTTCACCTCTATTGAGCACAGGACTTCTAAAACAGAACCTTAATAGCATACTTAGCAAAGGAATAGTCGCCAGCTGACTAGATATTGATTTAATGTTCCATCATTTCCATGGTTCAATCACACCTACCATGGTGAATCAGTTGGAGCATCCTCAATGAACCAATAAATGAGCAATTTCCCCCACCAAAGGGATATGTTTGATGTGTGGCAGAGGCATACATAACTTATCACAATGTGGGGATCAAATGCAGCACTGATTCACCTTGGATCATCTAGCCTTCTGTTTTCAGTAATGGTTTATTCTTCTAATTGGCACTCACCACAGACCAGCTTTTTGTTTAAATATTTGGGCATGTGATCTATCTCTGCTCGAGGTCAGGGACCATTTCTTACATGGTTTATCATTTTCCAGGACATATATTAATAGGTGGTCAATATACATTTGTCAAACGAGAATCATATGTTAACACAGAATAGGGTCGAGCTTGCTATTAATATATGCCTGTGGTTCTCAGCCCTGGATCCCCATTAGAATCACCTGGGGATCTTTTTAAAAACTACCCAGGCCCCATCCCCAAAGCTGTGGGCTTAATTGGGTCTAAGGTAGGGTCTGAACATTCCACCCAGACTCTATGTTTTAAAAGCTTCACAAGTAATGCTAATGGACAGCTAGGGCTGAGAAACACTGCTGTATGGTGACATAAGAAGACAGGCAGGCAGACCAGCAAGTGGTCTAACCAGTACCCCTATTATGTCTTCTTTTAAAAGAGAGATCCTCCAAGTGAGGTCCATAGACCAGCGGCATCAGCATGGTCCAGCCACTTGTTAGAAATGAAAATCTGGGGGCTCCTTCCCAGACCTACAGAATCAGAAACTCTGTGGGTGAGGTCCAGAAATCTGTGTTCTGACAAGGCCTCCATTTGAATCTGACACCTGCTAAAGTTTGGGGACCACTGCAATAGACAAATCTATGTTGAACTAAAAATGGTGAGGCTGGAAATGTCTCAGAGAAACTGATTGCAAAACTTATTTCAAAACTTAAAGCAGGTTATGCTTCATGAAACAACTCTCTGAACCAGAGTTTTTCTTAGTATTCACCTTTTGGCACCTGAAAGAAAGCAAACTTCAGTGTGCATAAGAAATACTCTGCCCAGACCAGACAGTGGAGATGACTGCGGTCAACCTCTCTACACAGAGACACTCAGCCTAGAGGAGGGCACCAACCGCATATCATCAAGTCCTGTCTCCATTGCTCTATGCTTTGCGGTGGCCCTCAACACTTGGGCAAGAGACCTGTTACTCAACTTCACTTTCTACTCATTGTAAAATCAAAGGCAGCAGGAACTTCAAACCATGGACCCAACTTTCTAAGCAGGTTTGCGGGGCTTCTTAAGAAGCCAGGGTCAGAAGTAGATGTTGTTTTGCTCCCAGCTGTGGGACTTTGAGTGTAGAATGGGAACGCCCTCATCCCATCTTTCTCAAGCGCTCAACACGGGATCTGACTGCCTTGGAGGGTAAGGAGCAGAGGGGTAGTGGCAGTTGGTGTTGGCAAGGGGGAAGTGACAAAGGGAAACTCGGGGGTTGGTGGCCACAGCAGAAGTGGGGAGTGGCGCACACGATGTGGTAAGGGGATGCCGCCATGACTGTCACACCCCACCGTGACCGGTGCCTGGTTTGCCACACCTTTATCCAGATCCACTCAAGGGACGAGCAGATTAGGGTTGCTGGTTTAAAGCTGATTAAAGGCCTAACCTAAAGTAAGGCTGGTGATGTGGACCTGTGAACAAATTTCTCCAAGTTCAGCCCCTGAGCTACCTGTGTCAAAATCACCAGGGGTACTTGCTAAGGCTGCAGCCTCCTGGACCCCTGCCCCAAAACTGCTGAATCAGCAGTTCTGAGGGTGAGGGGTCTGGAAATATGCACACTAGACAAGCTCCTCAGTGGCCTCTGATACAGATGGTTCCTAAGATCTTACAGAAAGCTGCCCAAACAATATTTTGTTGATTTGAAATTCAAAGTTACCTGTTGCTTAACGTTGACTCCATGCAAAAACCTGTAACAGATACGTAAGTCTTAAGATATAGTCCCCTACAAAGAGGAATTAGCCATAAGTATTAGTAGGAAGAGGAATAGTAATAGTGATAAATAAACAATAAACCGTGGCCAGGCGCGGTGGCTCACACCTGTAATCCAAGCACTCTGGGAGGCCGAGGCGGGTGTATTACTCAAGGTCAGGAGTTCAAAACCAGCCTGAGCAAGAGTGAGACCCCATCTCTATTATAAATAGACCAACTAATATATATAGAAAAAATTAGCCGGGCATGGTGGCGCATGCCTGTAGTCCCAGCTACTCGGGAGGCTGAGGCAGAAGGATTGCTTAAGCCCAGGAGTTTGAGGTTGCTGTGAGCTAGGCTGACGCCATGGCATTCCCTCTAGCCTGGGCAACAAAGTGAGACTCTGTCTCAAAAAAAAACCAAACCAAAACAAACAAACAAACAAAAAAAACAATAAACCGTAACAAGGCAGAAGGAGATAGGAAAAGTGGCAATGAAGATTTGTGGGCATTCAAATCAGACAGATTAAAACTCAGGGTTTGGGAAAGGCATTGGGCAGGAGGTGGTAGTTCAGATTTTTTAAATAATTTTTTTCCTTAAAACAAGAATACGTGTCTAACAGAAGTTTATCTTCCCTGCAGACATCAGAGATCATTCTTGGAGGAATGGACAGGATTTCAACAAGTGGAGCAGGAAGGGGAAAAAGCAGGATTCCAGGTGGAGGGAACATCGCAAGCAGTGATGTCAATCGACTAGTATTTCTACCATTTCTGGAATTTGCTCTTAGTAAAAATCCTCAAGTGCCTTGGAGTTAGGGTCTGCAGAAGTCGGGCTCTCTGTTAGACTAACTGATGCTAGTTTACATTTATTGGGTACAGTGACTTCTTGTAATTTTTCCTAATTCCATAATGTATATAAAACTGAGGTATTAAATAATATGATGATAAAAGATGATAAAACACGATGCTGCTTTAAGGGAAGGAGTACAGATGTCTGCAGTTCACCTTAAAATGCATCCAACAAATAAGATAGAATGATAGAGGATGGATAGATAAGTGATAAACAAGTTTAAATAAAGGTTGACAGTAGAATCCAGGAAATGGGCATAAGATATTCTGTGTAAAAATCCTTTTAACTTTGCTGTGTGTTTAAGTCTTTTCATAATAACATGGGGATGAGCGATTTTCTGCTTCTATACTTTATGTGACCTTGAGTGAGTCCCTGCTTAGCTCCTCTGGGCTTCCCTTTGCTCAGCCATTAAGGGGTTGAACTGGTTAATCTCCAAAGTCCTGTTCAGTTCCCAAATACCCACTCATTCCCTCTCCCTCTCAAAAGGAAACACAAGAGTCACTACCACAGAGAGGCAGTCATCTAACCCACCACGACTTAGCTCTGCTAATAAAGATAGTTAATCTTCCTTAGAGCGTAGCGTGGCAGGGATGACCTAACGTGGACCCAGACAGTGTCACGCTGCTGTCTGTGGTCCTCGAGCAGGTGCCGGGCGAGTCAGACCTTGAAATTTGTTTTGAAACTGACCACCTGTTACTGTGATTGTGTGGCTGTTTTCCTGGCTTATGGGATTTTACTTCAGCTGTTGTTCTCAGGCGAGAGTTTATTTCCTCTAGGAATCACTCAGGTCACTTGCCCTAAACTTAGCATGTGAGTGTAGGGACCTTCCGGAGACTGAGTCAACTATGCAAATCTGAATCTTCTGTCAAAAATCCTGAGGTTACCTACAGACTCGAGTAATAGATTCTAAGGGGGAAAATGAGAATCCTCTTTCAAGTCTTTTATTACAGATAATCATCTCTTTGAATTTTGCTTCAGGAAGAAGGAGCCAAAGGATCAGATTTAAAGTTGCTCCTGACTCCTTCTTGTGTCCTGCTGAACAGACAGCATTGTGCTGAGTCAGAACTTGCCTGGCATTCGCTGCCTTGCTTAAAATTCCTGTGCCCATAAAATTTTACTGCGAGTTAAAACTTATCAGAGAAGAAGTCAATTTTCCCTGATAGTTTGAAGGCAATGATACAGTTTTGGAACGAATATGGATCTTAGTGATTAACTAGTCTAGCCTTCATTTTAGAATTGAAGCAAGCGGAGTTCAATGACATTATTATAAAGAGACATGATCAAGATCATAAATCTTGTTAAGGGCTGAGATAGAAATCTCCTTACATTGCAGACTATACTCATATAAAGGGGAGAACAATAAAAGCTTCAAAGGCTGTGCTTATGAATATCAGGTTATTTTCTCTTAAAAAAAAATCATAGTGTTCTAGTTTCCTATTGCTTGTCTGACAAACCACCACAAAACAGAGTGGCTTCAAACAACAATCTGTCCTGGTTCTGTGACAGAGGATAATATGAGGCTCCTCTAGGCAGTTCTCACTTGGGGTGTCTTACGCAGTCAGATGGTGGCTGGGGCTGCACATTTAGATGGCTTTGTCACTCACATAACTGGTACCTGAGCTGAGATGGCCGGCATGGAGGCTCTCCAGGCGTCCTCAAACTATGGCCCATGGGCCACATGCAGGTGTTTTTGCCGTTTGTTTCTTTACTTCAAAATAAGATATATGCAGTGTACATAGGAATTTGTTCATAGGTTTTTTTTAAACTATAGCCTGGCCTTCCAATGGTCTGAGGGACAGTGAACTGGCCCCCTGTTTAAAAAGTTTGAGGACTCCTGCTCTAGACAGTCAGATATACCACATGGCAGCTGGCTTCCTCCAGGGCAAGTGTTCTGGGTGGGCACTGAGAGGCTTCTTCTCACCCCACCATGGAAGCCCAGCAGCACTGCTTCTGCTACATTCTACTGGCTACTCGGAACCAGCCTACATTGAAGGAGGAGGACTATGGAAGGGCATAAATAGCAGGAGGCAGGACTTATTGGGGACCATCTTTGGAGACCACCAAAGTACACATGGTATCACCATTACCTTTTGAGATGAAATATGTTAGCATTTTGCAAACAAAGAGTGGGAAATCATTCTAAAACATATGGCTTGAGCCAGGCTAACAAACTAGAGGCCAGCATGGGATGGACAGAAGAACATGGAGTTTGGAGTTAGTATATGTTAGAAAACTCCAAGCACTATCATTTACTAACTATAAGACCTCAAGCAAGTAATGTAATTACCTTGAACCTGAGTTTCAACATGTATAAAAGTGTAATAACATCCATTTCCACGTATTATCTGTAAAAAATAAATAATGAATGTTAAGCTCTTCATACATAATAGTTGCTCAATACATTTTAGTTCCTCTTACCCTCAGCTATCTCTGGAATCCAGACCTCTAGACAGGTAATCACTGAACACATGTTTGAGTGTCTCAATGGGCCAGGTTCTGTACTAGAGGGTGGTGATTCAAGCATGAAGATGGCATGTTAATTAGAGCATGAGTCAGAGCTCATGCTCTGACGAGGGGAAGAAAATATAGAGGCATGCAACCTACTGAGCAAGGTACTACAATGAAGGCAGACTACATGCTAGCTTAGGAGCACAAAGGAGGGAATGGTTTACTCTATAGAGCAGCAGTCCCCAATCTTTTTGGCACCACGAACCGGTTTCATGGAAGACAAGTTTTCCATGGACCAGGGTGGGGAGGGGTGGGATGGGGTGTAGTGGTGGGGTTTGTGGAGCTCAGGCTCCATTTCCTAACATGCCACTGACCGGTACCAGGCCAAGGCCCAGGGGCTGGGGACCACAGCTACAGAGCAATCCTCAGAGAGAAAATGACACTTGAGTGGAATCAAGAAAAACAAGCAGGAGTTTGCCATCCACAGGAGATGGGAAAAGAAAAATCAACAGAGCAGATGTAGCATGTGCAAAGGCACAGGGGCATAAAACACCATTAAGAAGTGAAAGCAAGGCCGGGCGCGGTGGCTCACGCCTGTAATCCTAGCACTTTGGGAGGCCGAGACGGGCGGATTGCTCAAGGTCAGGAGTTCGAAACCAGCCTGAGCGAGACCCTGTCTCTACCAAAAATAGAAAGAAATTAATTGGCCAACTAAACATATATAAATACAAAAAATTAGCCGGGCATGGTGGCACATGCCTGTAGTCCCAGCTACCCGGGAGGCTGAGGCAGTAGGATTGCTGAGCCCAGGAGTTTGAGGTTGCTGTGAGCCAGGCTGACGCAACGGCACTCACTCAAGCCTGGGCAACAAAGTAAGACTCTGTCTCGAAAAAAAAAAAAAGAAGTGAAAGCAGCTGTACACTGAGAATGAGGGTACAGGGACTCTTCCCTCAAAAAGAGCCCAAAATGGAGCTAATCCTACCTGGGAAAGGAAAGTCATTGAATATTTTAAGGAAAAGCTGAAGGAAAATAATGCTTCTTAATGAGTACCATCTTTGAATGAAGTTCCCCTTCATTGTTTGAAGCCAGACACTTTTGTGAAATTTCATTGCACGATTCAGGATGTGTTTGAGCCTGAGTTTTACATAGGAGTTTATAAAACAGTTAACCAAAACACAAAAGCATGTATTCTTCATTTTGGAAAATACAGAGATGTAGCAGAGTGTGGACCTCAATAAAAAGTTGATTTAAGCTCTCCCCAAACTACCATTTTGGAAAGAGAGACTGTTTATTCCAGTGCCTGAGGAATCTGCATGGGTAAAAGAAGCTGATGTTAATGCAAACCGAGCTCAGGTCGGTTTTTCAGCATCCGACGCTCCCAGTCGCCCCAAGAGAAGTTATGAAGATGGTGAAGATATGGACCTACAGCCCGATAAACAGAAAAACCATTTGCAGGTGCTAGACAACCAGGGAGTGTTGGTGGTCTTCCGTGGTGTGGACAGCCAAAACCTTTAGAAACTGAAACTCCTTGTGGGTGATAACTGAACTCCCTGAAGCTCTCTTCTTTTGATTTTTCTGCTGACAGGAGAGAAGGTTCCTGTGTGCCTTGCGAATGTAACAGAACTTTTAGAGACTTGACATTGACACAGATGTGTCATGTGTCTCAGACATTAAAACGGAAAACTCTTAAAAAAAAAAAGAAGAAGAAATGAAAGCAGTTTGATGGCACTGAAGCATATGGTTGGAAGCATGGAAGAGGGGAAATGAAGTCAACTAGAAGCACAGATGAGGGGGCCACTTTGGAAGGCATCATGGCAGCCCAAGCAGGAGATGATGAGGGCTTGAGGGACAGCTGAGTTGAGATGAAGAGCAGAGGAGGGATTAGAGACAGAGCCGACAAGTAAACTGAAAGGCCTGGTTCACTACCCAGAGAGAGGGGATGGAAGGAATCCAAAGATAATTCCTAGATTTCTGGCTAAGATGATGCAGTGGATGGGATGTATGGTCATTAGCTCATAGAGTGTATCCAGGAGGAAGAATGGATAGGTGAGGGAAGAAGCTAATGAATTTGGTTTGGGATATATGGAGATTAAGATGTCTACAGGGCATCTACAAGAGAGCTGTTCTGTATGCAGTTGAATTTATCAGTCTGGAGTTTTGGGGGAATTGATTAGGCAGGAAAAAGAGGGGAGTTACCTACCACCTGCCAATGTGAAGTCTTTTTAAATTAGCCTTTTCCAGACCACTCAGGTAAATTAATGATGTCTGTGGTCACAATGATTGCTTAAACAGCCGTAGCTGTTGGATTTGAAGAATTTCTTTTTCTAAAATTTTCTTCTTAATTGGAAGGTGTTAGCAAAAAAAGTAAGCACAGCCATTGGTAAAGAAGTGAAGGAGTGCCCCAAACAGGTCAAATACTTACAATGGTTCTCACAGCAGAAAAAATAAATAAAAATTCCTGTATTGGCCTGGCGTGGTGGCTCATGCCTATAATCCTAGCATTCTGGGAGGCCGAAGCAGGAGAATCATTTAAGCCCAAAAGTTTGAAACTAGCCTGAGGAACAGTGAGCCTTTCTGTACTAAAGATAGAAAAAATTAGCCAGGCATGGTGGCACATGCCTGTAGTCCTAGCTGGTTTGGAGGCTGAGGCAGGAGGATCACTTGAGCCCAGGAGTTTGAGGTTGCTGTGAGCTAGGCTGATGCCACAGCACTCTAGCCCGAGCAACAGAGGAAGACTCTGTCTCAAAAAAAAAAAAAAAATTCCTATATCACACACTAACCAACAAAACCTGCCACACTTTAGTTGATTCCATAATAATCACAACTAAATTATATACAAAAACAGCCCATTGTCATAGAATTTCATTCTCCTTAGTTACAAGGGCAGCAAATATAGTTAGGGTCTAATAAAGGTGAAAGAACTACTGAGAGTTTGGTTTAACTATTTTCACTAAAGGTACTAAAGATCAGTATCATTTGTACCTACCCTTCTCAAGATCTTCTATGAGCAGTAGGAACGAGGGGCTATGAGTTCTCATTCCTACTCTACTGTTTCCTGTTGCAGTTGGTTCTCAAATTTTAGAAGCTGTAGAATCTCCTAAGGAGCTTTAAAAAAAAAAAAAAATCTAGATGTCAGAGCCCCAGCCCCAGTGATTCTGATTCAGTAGGTCCAGGATAGAGCCCAGGTATCTGCAATTTTAACAAGCATCCCAAGTGATTCTGATGAAACAGTATGACTGTAGGCAAACCAAATCAGTTCTTAGGGCTCAATTTCTTCATCTATAAGATGGGAATAATGACACCTGCCTTGCCTATTCTCAGGGCTTTTTTAAAGTCCAGAATAACAGTGATATATGTAAAAGGGCTGTGAACACACAGGTAAGATATTGGTATTGTCTGGGGCAGTGCATCAGAATTACCTGGAAGTCTCATTAAAACACAGATTGCTGAACCCTACTGCCAAGGTTTCTGACTCAGTAGGTCTGTGGTGAGACCAGAGAATTTGCCTTTCTATCAAGTTCCCCAGTGATACGGGTGCAACCAGTCAGGGGACCAGGCTTTGAGCACTACTGACCTGGGGACTCGAAAGCATTGGTTTTAGGTCAGTTAACTGAAAGCTGTTGGGTTGGCTCAGAAGGTGCCAGATCTTACCTTAGAATTGTCTGGGCCTATGTTCTCACTGTTCATGATCCCCAAAACTTGATTCATTCATCCGATAAATATTTATTCAGCACCTTTGATGTACCAGGTACTGCTCTGGGCACTGGAAATACAACCCTGAACAAAACAGCCATGAAAATGAATTAATAAAATAACCCCAGATGACAATCAGTGCCATAAAAAAAAATATGAAACAGGGTAATGGGATAGAGAGACCGAGTTGGGAGTGGTTCTTCATAGAGTGGTCAGGGAAACGTTCTCTAAGGAAGTTACATTTATGCTGAAGCCACAGTGAAATAAAAGCCAGCCATACTAAGATGGGGCAAGAGCATTCCAGGCAGAGGGAACAGAGAGTGCAAAGGCTTGGAGGCCAGAACAAGCGAGGAGAGTGGGGCTGGAACTAGTGAATGACAGGTGGAATGTGATATGGGATGAGAGCGGGGAAGGCCAGAGAATGTAGGATCTTGCAGGCCTTGGGGAGTGTGGATTATGAGTCAGGTCTACAGATCAGATCTGTATAGATCAGCCCTTCCCAAAGTTTGATGCGTATGCAAATCACCAAGGATCCCACTAAAATGCTAATGCTGACTCAGTAGTTATAGGACAGGGTCCAAGATTCTGCACCCTCTGCTGCTGTTCCTGCAGCTGGGACCTGGACCACACTTTCAGTAGTGACAGCCATAGAAGAAAATGCTAGGAAGTAAATAGGTTCTGTCTTCCTTCAATTAGGGAAACACGTGGATATAAGTTTAAAGGAATGGGGAATGATAGGGACTGATGGAAAAATCATGAAGTTGGGGAATTGTGGACATGAAAAATTATTATTCAGGAGGATCTATAATGTTCCTTTCAGCATACAGCTCAAAAGATTAAAAGGTTGTCACCAAAATGAGGAATCTAAATAAAATAATAATTCTCTTGATAGTTTATTTAGAAGTGGCTACAATAGAACTTCCAAAGTGAGTGTGTCTGCTTACAGTTTAGTGCTGCTGCTTTATCTTTGCACCCCACCCACCTGCTTGCAAAAGTAGTGACTATTTCCACAACCTCTTTAACCCTCCATGGCTCCCTATGGCCACTGCCTCCCCCTCAAACATTCTCTCCAGCCCTGTCACCCAATGTTGCTGGCCCTTCTTCCTCCATCTCCTGAGTAAGGGCCTGGGACTTGGATGGGATGAGAGGGGACTCAGAGACCTAAGGATAGCAGGGAGAAGAGGGCATTTCAGAGACCTGCCTGTTGCCTCTACTGTACTGCCTGGAGTGCAGCCATGAAACTACAGCTAGAACCTGCTTCCCCTCCTCCATGCTTTTCGGGGGGGGTGGGGGGGGTGGGAACTGAGCAGTTTTACGTTATAAGCCATATGGCTTTTTCTTTTAAGGAATGATCTTCCTAGAATGCATCCAGAATCCCAGCTCAGTCAAAAACAAAAAACAAAACCCTTAAAAATCGGATGCCTCTTTGTGTAAACTTCTATACCACACGATAGATCCCTTGTTTGTTATCATAGTCATGTGTTTCCCCCAAATTTCCTGTTTTTTAGATGATTTGTGAATTGAAAATTTTGTCTGTGGAAGGAAAGCCACATTATTGAAGCCATAAACAATAGAATGACTATGGCTTTAATCCTTTGAATAAGGCTTTGTTTCCCATTGACCGAAAACTTCCTAAAGGAAGGAAAGCTAGGAACATTCAGGAAGGATTTGTATTTTATTTTACAACAGTTTTGTGAAGTGGGAAAAATCATTTGAAAGCCTTAGACTCCCTTTCCTGGTTGATGGGCATCAGAACACACAGCCGTGCTGGGCGCTAGCTGCAGATGGTGGCTTCCCCGCCCACCAAAGACTTCCCTGCCCAAAGCCAACTTAGTTTTGTTATTGTTATGCTGACACCAACAGACGTTCATCCTGTGCTGGAGTTTCACATATTCCTGGGACATGGCTAGGAACAGGTGCACCCACAGCTTATCGCAATTTATTTGCATGGATCAAAAATGTTTCCCTAATATATTCCACGAGGCTTATATTGCATACTCCTTAATTTATGAATCTCCTGTTAATTAAAGAAATGTAATAATAACAACTGAAAATATAGTCAGCAACAACTGAACTCTTAAGTTACATTAAATTATACCCCTCCCTGATTGTATTTTCATTTAAATAATAATAATAATAATTTTCTTTTACAATAAAATGAAATCAATGAGCTGCTTCATCATCCTTACAATTTGAGGAAGAGGATCTGTGGGTAAGACAAGACAGCTTTAAATCCCAAAATGCTGATGTGGCCATTGCTGCTTTGCACAGATTCTGTGCCAGAGGCATAAATTATGGAGGTCAGTGCACGGGCTGTCAGGCCCCATTGCAGACGTCAAAAGGGCCTCTTGGACACCTGCCCCTTCCAAGATTCTCAGTGATATCATTCTCATTTATTAATCCCCACTGAATGAAGAGTACCGCATGCACCCCCTTACGGGCATCGGCCCTTAGGGTTTTGTCTCAGGTATGTGTCTAGGGACATAATTTAGATATTCATCTTCCTGAGAATTATGTTTCAGGTAGCAAATCCTAATTATAGGTCTGCTCCTTAAGTGACTTCCCAGAGACAGAAGGTGCAGCTGATGTTAGGATTGGGTCTTTGTTAGCTGTAATTAGAGAGAGCGATACCTCTTCATCCACAGAGTCCTGTCTTCATGGCATTACCTGTGCCTGTGGGATACACTAGAGAAAAGAGACCAGTCTTTGGTTGAGAAAAACAGGATCTATTTCCAGTGCTTCGCAAGCAGTGCCTGCTTTGTCTTAAGCCAAGGAAGGCCTTCGAATTACTTTCAACAGAAGATTTAAAAAAATGTTCTATATTAGGGTTTTCAGTCTTTTCTCCAAGCATGGACCTCTTTGGGAATCTGTTGATAATTATGAATCATTTCCTCTCAAAAATGCACATACATGTAAACACAGGCAATGTTGCATACAATTTCAAGAGATTCACGGACCACTCCTGAGCCTCAGATTAACAGCATTTGATCAAAACCCAAATACTTTTAAAACTTATAGAAGTCAGTTTCTTTTTCTTTTTGAGACAGAGTCTCACTCTGTTGCTGGGGCTAGAGTGCCGTGGCCTCAGCCTACCTCACAGCGACCTCAAACTCCTGGGCTCAAGTGATCTTCCTGCCTCAGCTGCCAAACTAGCTGGGACTATAAGCCACCACATCCAGCTAATATTTCCTATTTTTAGTAGAGACGGGGTCTTGCTCTTGCTCAGGCTAGTCTCAAACTCCTGAGCTCAAGCTATCCTCCTGCCTACACCTCCCAGAGTGCTAGTAGAAGTCAGTTTGATACCACATACCTCCAAAGCATTTAGAGGACAAAACTAAAATAAGTAAAAAGAGAAGAGTTTAAAAGACAGCACTTTTCTAAAATAGATTGTGGTGATTATCTTTTTTCCCTGAGCAAACGTTGTATAGTAGAGCATGAAACACCTGCTCCACCCTTTGCAGCTTACATGCTAAGTCTACAGGCTGTATTAATGGTCCTATAGATACACAATATGTACTGTGTATGTAAATAATAGCTACCCTGATGGCTGCCTGGTATTTATGAGGCCAAGGGCTTTGACTACAGGGCTGACTTACTTACTCCTCATAACAAGCGCATAAGATAAAGATCACTGACCCATTCTTCAGCTAAAGACATGGAGGCTCAGAGGAGAAAGCAACTTTCCCAAAGCCACAGAGTGATAAAGCAGCAGACATGGAGCTCTGACCCAGGGCTGTCTGTCTCCAAAGGCCTTGTTCTTAACACAGTAGAAGGAAGAAGGCCTACTGAATTTTATACCTAGCTTTTAAAAATGTCCTTCAGAGTCCCTGGGGGCAGTTATCAGGTAAATAGGAAGCAGGAGGACCTCAAGGGCTGCCTGAAGCAAAGTCACACCCTTTGCCCTGACAGCTGCAGCATCACAAGCAAGGAGACTTTCCTCCACTTCGGGTCCGACTGGCACGGTTTGGGCTGGTTTGGGCTGCCGTGGCCATTGTTATTAGAAGACGCTGTCCCCTCCTGCAGTCGGAGGGCGATGAGGGACTGGGGGCTGCGCTCCCGCCTGGCTCCCAAGGCGCAGGGGACCCGCGAAGAGCTCCGCCCGCCCCTGCACCGCCTGGGGCCTTCCGCCAGTTCCTCTTCTCCGTCCCCTCCGCCCCCTGGCTGCCTGTCACTCTGCTGCCCTCTGCGGTGGCCGGTGGCCGCACAGGGATGCGGAACCTGGGAAAACTGGGCGAACGCTCTATCCCACGCTGAGCTGGGAATGGAGGAGTAGTCGACTAGTTTAGACTTTCCTAACATTAGACTTCTCCAAATGTAACTGGCAGCAGGGGACATAGCCCAGAACCTAGAAGCAATAATTGAGGCAACCAAAGCCTTGAAGGACTTTCTGAACTGAAGCAGGAGGACCAAGTAACACAGATTAAAGAAATAACACGCCACTCACCTAAGTCATTTTAGGATTAACCTGGTAAACTTGAGGCATTACTTATGGGAGGCAGGACATCACAGTAGCTAAGCATGTGGCTCCAGCGTCTGATGGCTGGGGTTCTAATGGTGATTTCCAACACTTACTGGTTGACTTTGTACAAGCTTCTTTGCCTCTCTGTGCCTTAGTTTTCCCACCTATAAAATGGGTATAATAATAGAACTAGTTTAAAAAGTTGTTCTAAAAATTGAATATATGAATAAATACATTACGCTTAAAACAGTGCCTGGACCATCATAAGCACTGAAAAAGTGTTAATTAGTATTGTGATTATTATTTGGCCATTTTCATAATCACTGAAGGGTTAGCCTCCTTGCCCATAGGGATAATCTCACCAAATAAATTATTTAACCTTGAACCTTCCAGTTCCCCACAATTGCAGAAAGTCTGATCTTTGAGATAAGTTTCAGTTGGATAATGTTAAAAAGGAAAAAGCAGAAAGACTTTCGTAGATTTTTGAATGTTAGAGAGAAGAGAAAGCAATAAGAAATGACACCAAGATTTGTGGCCTAGATGATAAATGAATGCTTATGTTTTGTAGAGTGATTAAGATGGTGAGTGGAAGGAAAAGAGAACCGGGTATTGCAGGGAAGGATTACAAAAACAACAAGTTTGGGACTAAAAGACTATTTTAAGGGAAAGTAGCAGCCATCCAGCACTTTCGTAATATCTGGTGTCCCTGGCTTACTTCTGTTTGGGAGAGGGGCCCCACTCATTCTCATTTTATGAGACTATAACTTTTTATTATTCATTTTAGTGTTTGTCGTTTATTGAGTTGTTTCTACCCAGTGTGTTTACAACTCACATAAAATACTGAAGACAATCAAATATACAGAAACAAGGCTGGGAAATGCAACTTGCCCAGTGAAAATGTCATTAGTATCTAGTGGCAGCTGCATACTGTAAAACAATTGGAATAGCCTCAGATAGAAGGCAGATGAAAAACAAGGGAAATGACTATCTAGATGCCTTGATGGAAAACAGTTTTTAATAGAAGGTGGTTTTAAATGGGCTGTCAGAGAAAGGGGATAAGTTGTCCAAGTGAGAAACCAGACAATCCATCAAGAACAGAATGCAAAGAGGAGAAAAAGGTAAAGTTCTCATGGGAACAGGATATAAAATTGATGACAATAGGCTTCCATAGAGGATGAAGAGCAACATAACAATGTGTGCTATGTATTATTTGCATAAACTCCAAAGAACTTGGCATGATTTGCATTTTCCACAACACAATCATAAACCAGGAAATAAGAAAAAATACAGTGAGTATCAAGCAGTCAAAATAGGCACTGGAGTGTCCAACTTTACTCAGAGGAGTTCTCAGGTCCTCACTTTACAAATAATTCCAATAAACTTGGCTGTTTTTTCAAACTCAATCATTTCAAATGAGATTCGGATTCACCATTTCCATGTTATGTACCTTAACAGTAGCTCACACTTGCTGAACATTATGCACCAAGAACTGTTCTAAATTCTATCTAGACAGCCTTATCACCATAGCAACCTAAGAGGTAGGGACTAGAATTATCCCCATTTTACAGATGAGGAAACTGAAACACAGAGAGGTTTTTTAAAGTACCCCAAATCACATAGCTCGTAAGTAGGAGAGTCAGGATGTGAACCCAAGATAGTCAGGTTCCTATATCCTTAACAACTGGGCGAGGCTAGGCCAGTGCATAAGAATCACCTAAAGCGCTTTGAAAACACAGATTGCTGGGCTTTATCCTCAGTTTCTGATTCAGAAGGTCTAGGATAGAGCAGAGACTCTACCTTTCCAACAAGTAGTGTATGAGTTTGCCTGGGCTGCAATAACGAAGCACCACATAGTGGGTGGCTTAAACGAAAGAAATTTATTTTCTGACAGTTCTGTAAGCTAGAAGTCTGCGATTAAGATGCTGACAGGGTTGGTTTCTTCCAAAGCCTCTCTCCTTGGCTTGTAAATGGCTGTCTTCTCCCTGTGTCTTCATATGGTCTTCCCTCTGTGTGTGTCTGTGTCCTAATTTCTTCTCCTAAGGACATCAGCATATTGGATTAGGACCCACCCTAATCACCTCATTTTAACTTAATCTCCTCTTTTAAAGCCTTATCTACAGATACAATCACATTCTGAGGTATGGGGGGGGGGTTAGGGCTTTAACATGGGAATTGGGGAGGGGCAGGGGGATTATAATTCAGCCAGTAACACCACACAATGCTGATGCTGATACTGTTGGTCCAGGGACCAGAGTTTGAGAACCACTGAACCAAACAATAGTACGTGCCATGGACTGTCCTGGGTGTTTTACATGTGTTGTTTTTTTTTTTTTTTTGAGACAGAGTGTCACTTAGTGGCCCAGGCTAGAGTGAGTGCCATGGCGTCAACCAAGCTCACAGCAACCTCAAACTCCTGGGCTCAAGCAATCCTTCTGCCTCAGCCTCCCGAGTAGCTGGGACTACAGGCATGCGCCACCACGCTTGGCTAATTTTTCCTATATATATTAGTTGGCCAATTAATTTCTTTCTATTTATAGTAGAGATGGGTCTCCCTCTTGCTCAGGCTGGTTTCAAACTCCTGACCTCGAGCAATCCGCCCGCCTTGGCCTCCCAGAGTGCTAGGATTACAGGTGTGAGCCACCATGCCCGGCCTGGGCCTGTGTTTTCTCATTTTGATTATTATGTCATATAATCCTTACATGAGAAAAATACCATTATCCTTATTTTCTTGAGAAAGCTAAGGAACAGAGATGTTAAATGACTTTCCTCAAATCACACAGCTAATGTCGTGGACAGCGTTTGCTGTCTGTTCAGCATCCGTTCTCTCCTTTCTCCTTCCTAACAGAATTTGATTTTATTCAGGTGTCCATCCCTCTCTCATGTATCCGTGTGCTCCAGTAAAATCCCACAAAATCCTGGGGCCTGATTGGCTGACTGATCCCATTGCCCCTACCAGTAACTGATCCAAGCATAGGCGCATGATCCAATTTTGGCTAATGAGATGTGAGGAATTTTGAAGAGAGGTTTCTATGTTTAAGACAGCAGCACAGTAAGGTACAAGGTCTGTCTGCTTCTCTGATGTGGTCATGACTGGATATAATGCTGAATTAGGTGCAGCCATCTTGCTACCAACCTGAGGACGAAGCCTACAGAGCAGGGAAAGAACTGCTCGATCCTTGATGACATTGCTAGATGGCTGGATCAACTAAATCCAGATCCAACTAAATCTCCCTTTTTCCACACTTCCTATTGTGTGAGCAATATACTCCTTCACTATTTAAAACAGTCTGAGTCAGGGTTTCTTCTCATTGAATTCAGCTGGCATACAGGGTGCTAAGATTTGAATTACATGCAAATATGAGAGAAGCAATAACTAAATCCAGCATGACAGCAAGGCTGGAACCAGAATGAATTTGCAATACAAGAACTCAAAAAGCTGGGCAATTTGCAACAGGATAAATACTACACGATTCCATTTATACGTGATATCTAGAGTAGTCAAAGTTGTGAAATCAGACAGAATGGTAGTTGCCAGGGACTGGGGGAAGGGAGAAATGGAGAGTTGTTGTTCCATGGGAATCGAATTTCAGTTTCTCAGAAAAAGTTCTTGAGATCTGTTATACAACAATGTGAATATAGTTAACATTACTGAACTGTATACTTGAAAAAGGTTAAAAACGTAAATTTTACATTATGTGTTTTTTTACCACAATTTTTTTAAAAAGCTTGGCAAATGGGAGTCATTCAGGATAGACAAAGAACCCTACACACTCCAGAGCCCTTAAAGATATTACTCTAGATATAGAACCTTGGCCTCCTTGTTCCTCCCACCTTAAAGCCTTTGCACTGGCTGTTCTTCTGCCTGGAATGCTCTTCCCCTAGACATGTACATGGGCACATCTCTCACTGCCTTCAAATCTTCAAATGTCACCTTCTCAATGAGGCCCTACCTTGACCACCATATTTAACATGGCAACCCACTCCACCTCCCTGCCCCTAGCACTCTCATTCTCCTTACCTTGCTCTACTTTTCCTTTCTTTTTTATTATCACTTTCTAAAATGTTATATAATTGACTTATTGGGTTTAATATTTATTATCTACCTCCATCCTCTAAAACAGGAGTCCTCAAACTTTTTAAACAGGGGGCTAGTTCACTGTCCCTCAGACCGTTGGAGGGCCAAACTAAAGTTTAAAAAAAACTATGAAAAAATTCCTATACACACTGCACATATCTTATTTGGAAGTAAAAAAACAAACAGGCAAAAACACCGGCATGTGGCCCGCAGGCTGTAGATTGAGGACACGTGCTCTAAAACATAAGATCCACAAGAATAGGGATCTCTATCTACTTTGTTCTCTGATGTATCCCAAATGTCTACACCTGGCACATAGTCAGCGCTCAATAAATACTTGTTTAAAGAATATATGAGGTTGGTGTACATTCTGGTAACTACAGGCATCAGCTCTAGACCTTGTATTACAGTGACATTATAAAATAAAACATGAAAAGCTACTTCTGTGCTAAAATGGCAGCTCTAATCTTGCTCCTTCCCCTAATCCCACCAAAACTACAATCAAGTGGATGGGAGAACAAGAAAGGAGATGATAGCTCCAAAATGTGGGAAGCTACAAAGTAGTAATCTACTTAGCAGATATAAAAAAGCTGAATCCTAAAGTAGCCGTCAGGAAAGCTGAGAAACAACTTATTTTATACCATAGAAACCACAAAAGACTCAGGAAAAGCAGCACCAAGTACCTCCAGAAATGAAGGTGGGGAGTGGGGATTATAAGGACTGTTTGGGGGAAAGCTACATGAGAAGTGTGATCCCTGCATCCCTCCCTACTCTACTCTCTTGGCAAGAGTCCTCTCCTATCCTGTGGGTACTTTGACTTCAGGAACTGGGTACCATACCATAACTAGGGGTACGGTACTTAAACTAGGGGAATTTGGTGACCAAATACATATTGGATAAAAAATATTCCTAGAACACTGGCAGTCAAACCTTTACTCTTAAGGCAGGAGATCAGAAGAGTTGGTTTTTGTTTGTTTGTTTTTCCCAGAAAAATCTGACCAGCCAAAGGGAAAGATCTAAAGATCCTGACACCCATCAAATGGCCCAACCAGATCATCACACAGTAAAACTAAAAATTGACAACCCCCCCCATGCTCAGAGCTTCTAATTAGCTTTTTAGTCCCACCTTTGACATAAGCAGGCAATCAAAGATTCACCAAACAGCTGAGGTAAGTCTGTAACATGGAAGATAGAGACCAGAAACAAACAAACAAAAAAAGCAACTTGTAAGAAATGGGCTATGTAGAGAGAACATTTTAAAATTTTTACTCAAAATATCACTTTATTAATACGCACAGTAAGATGAGAAGATTTTATATACACGTTAAAAGATTAGGATTCTATTCCTTTAAAGGACCATTCAAAGAACAAAAAAGTACTTTAGGAAGCTCTGAACATAATGACGAAAATAAGAAACCTTCAATTGAAAGATTAGAAGATAAAGTTGAAGGAGTATCTCAAAAGCAAAGGGCAATAAGATGGAAAATGGAGAGAAATGACAAGAAAATTAGAAGACCAAAAAGGCCAATGCATGAATAATAAGAATTCAAGAAAGAAAGAAACGTCCAGAAAAGAATTTTAGTTCAACTTTAAATTAACCTAAAGTGATCTAAAACCCAATGTAAATTTAAAGAAAATTTCAAAGAAATTTTTCAAGAAAATGGCCCAGAACTAAACGAGTTTCCAGATCGAAAGGCCTGGATGGATGACCAGCACAATGATGGATTTAGACCCACAGGCTGTCATGCATTATGAAATTCTAGAGCATTAGGAACAAAGAGAAGGGCCTTGTGAGCTTCTTTTTTCCAGGGGTAAAAGAATCACATACAACGGATGGAGAATCACAATGGTGCTTCAAACCTCTGAACAGCAACACCTAGAATGGGTCCTGTGGGTCCATGAGCCTACCCATACGTCATTTTCCCGATTCCTAAATGTATCATTTGGAATAGATGTATTGGTAGTTGGAAAAGCCCCACAATGATTCCCGTCAAGACTGGAACACACAAGACAGCCAAGGCCAAGATCAAGGCCTGACTGATTCCATCAGTAAAGCTGTAACAAAACGCTTTTAGATTTAGACAGTTTATTACTTAGTGAAAAGAAGAGTAAGTCAAAGGTTCCATCTCCCTGTGATCCTTGTCCCACACACCAAAAAGAACAATACTGAAACAAAAGGGACCAGATATCTGCAACTTGAGTTGTGGGACACCCTGTTGCTAAAGAGCTACTTCTCCATGCCAACCATCCAGTTTTATATTCTGTAGCTTTACTGGGGAAGGAGGACAAGAAGTTTCACACCTCATCAGAACCCGGGAGGTGATGCGACACTATCCCATGACAGCCCGCCAGGGAAATGGGGAAGTGAATGTGAGATGGCCTCCCTTCCTCTCACGTTCCAGGAAGATCACAAGGTGTTCTCCCAATATTCGGATTAGCTGCAGTTCAAGCCCTTGCCTACGTGGCTTATTTAGATATCTGCAAGGTAGCCAGGGTGACACAGCAGAGCTGTTTCCCCTACAGTTTCTTGGCCTGTGGAATAAGGCTACCATATTGCAGAAAGCTAAGAGGAAAACCCTAAAATCGCTTCCCCAGCCTCCAACTGAGATAGTAAATCACAAATAACATCACATCCCCAGGGGAATGGCAGAATTTAGTGCAACCCGTAAAGACCTGATGGTTGGTAGTCTCCATCATACTCCTATTGTCACCAGTATGGTTCCTGCAAACATCAGATCCAGGAGGTTGACATTAGACTACTGTGAATTCAACCAAGTCATAGGATCAATTAGCTGCAGCTGTGGTATCTTTACTGGAGCATATTCATGAGTCTTCAGGCATCTGATATGTGGCCACTAATCTGGCAAATGCTTCTTTTCTACCGTTATCAAGAAAGAGGGCCAGAACCAAGAGTATATATTTAAAGTCTTACTACAGGGCTATTATCTAAATAAGAATAATCTATCAAGGAAAGGGAGCCGAAGGAAGAAGTGCATGGAGAGACCTCATGGACAGATGGAAAGATAGGATCCCCACCCTAGCAAAGGAGTAACAGACAGGACTTGCATTCAGGTTTTAGAAAAGCCTAATTTGGGGAGATTCATCCACTGAACAACCAACACTATGCACTCCCTCTAACAATGCAACAGATCCAGGCAATCAGTGCACTTGTGTGGGGTTTGTTGTCGTTGCTGCCGTTGTGTTTATACCTAACATTTAGATACCAAGCGGTACCCCACTGGCCTTGGCAAGCCAGTTTCACCCGTGTCCCAACACGCAGAGCCAATGGTTTGCAGAGGCCTCCTCTGACCCCAAGCAGGCTACGTCGCTGCTGGGAAGAGTACGGTGGGAAAGTTCAAGAGAGGAAAACCGAGGCCTGAGCTTGGGTGGGTATTTTAGTGAATTGCCATTGGTTAAAGCCGGAGGAGCTTAAAGGGCTGGAAGGACAATGGAGTTGAACAGCGGTGAAGTTCGACCACCTGACCACGACCACGGCGCACCCCTTAGAGTCAATCCGCGGCACTTTAACAAATTCTCCGGAATTCCCGCCAACTTCGGGAAAACTTCCATAGGGGCGGGGCAGGAGGGGGAGGAGACTCGGCGAGCGGCAGCCGGCGCTCCGGGATCTCGAGATAGTCGCGGCTCTCGCGATCTTTCCGAAGCAGCCCCCTCCACGCGGAGTCCGAGCGCGTGTGCTGAGGGCCGGAGGGCGGAGACTGTGCGGGAGGGAGAAAGCCCCTTTGGCCTGCTCTACGGAAGCCTGCGAGGGAGGGTGGTGTCCACTGCCCATTTCTGTGTCCTGATGCCCAGCGCCAACGCCAGCCGCAAGAGTCAGGAGAAGCCGCGGGAGATCATGGACGCGGCGGAAGTGGGTTTCCTCTTTTCCTGGGCTTGGGAGGACAGACCCCTGGGCCGGCCGGCTCTGAGGGAGGGAGGAGGGTGAGCTGGGGGCCCTGCCTTCGGGAGCTCTGCCTTTGGGATCCCTGTGGGCACTCACCCTGCGGGCCGCGGGCCTGGCGTCCGGGCGCCCCGAGCCCCCACAGGGCCTGCAGGGCAGTTGCCCCAGCGGCGGGGCCAGACCTGCTCCGCACCGCATTCCTCACAAGGTCACCTGGGAGTTCTGGCCCACAAGAAGCGTGTCCCCGGGCTAGGGTGGGCGTGAAGCACCAACTGCCCCGGAAGTAGGAGCTGGGGGACCACCCTTTAGCTTCCCTGGGTTGGGCACGTTCTGCACGTAATGCACTCCCCCTCCCCCAGGAAAATTTGAATAACAGGGTGGTATAATAACTGAGTACATAATTGATATGTACTCAGCCCTCATGTTCCCAGTGTTTTGGCAAGTAAAGACACTACTTAGCAAAACCGTCTGCCAATATATTTAATGATCAAGTTTTCTATGTGACAGCTTTAAAGAGTACATGTCTTTTTCCTTTTCTCCCTCTGAGTGACCCAGTGATGTGTAGGTATTGATGGTTGCAGAGAATTCGTTCGGGGTGAAGTGACCCCAAATCACGTGAGGTTGTTCGTAACAGCCCGTGATCCTTCAGTGCTTTTCAGAAATCAAAGTTCCAAACCACCCTACAAGTGATGTGTGTTGTAATATTAAACCTCAGTTCCTGCCTGACTCCTGATTTTTGTGTTGAGGAATTCTTAATTTGTGGTAAACTACATAAGAAATAGGTCGTCTTGGAATACCAAATGGAATAAGGGTTGCTGAAATAAGAATAGTACTAATTAGAATGTATGACACTTTTTTGTGTCTTCACACAATTTAACCTGTTTATGCTGCCCTCTGCCTTCATTGTGTAACTGTATCTCTCTGGCTGGGGTTACCTTTGTCCTTAACGTGTATTTTTTATATATATGTGGAAAAAAAATGTTCAGTAAGCACCTTAACATGTTTTGGTTTACCTTGGTATACATAAAAAATCCAGTATCCTCCAGATCTAAAAGAGGATTTCAGCAGGTAGCTGCAGAGTGACAGAACTCATTGTTTCATACAGATTTAAATTACCTTGAAAAAAAATCTAAGAAATTATTTTTGTGTATTCTTCATCTGATTAATTACATAAACAGTGCACCCTACTGATAGCAGAGGTGTAGGTATAAGGTAAACAATGTGGCAAAGTTATGTCATTTTATAGCTAAAGTGATCTGAAAAGATCATTTAGAGGTAAAGTAAGATTAAAATAAAAGGCCACATATCTATTTAGTAAATATAGTTTGTTAATTGTCTGGACCGTAGGTCTCCTGTTTCCTTTTCCTAACTCTAATCTGTAACAAGAAATTTGATATTATTATATTGTCAGTGTTGAACCCTTGTAACCTGGCATCCTAAAGCTAGTTTTTAGAAACAGGAAGCTGGTGGATTTTTTGATGATGTTTTACAAAAGGAAAGTTGTAGCCAGCTTTTACCCAACATCTCAAATTTCTAAAAACTGTGGACATCTGGTGCTCAAAAAGCTTACCCAAAACTTTGGTTCTCTTTGAACATCTCTTCCTGTAATAGGAAGTTAATAAAACTGTGGTACTTCATCCTACTCCCTTCACAGAGGAAATATATATTCCTGCTTTGAAGTAGTTTCATCTCCTTTTTGAAGAAGGCAGTTAAGATGTTGTACATGTGTGTAAATTTTATCTGAGAGTGCTATTAAGTATGGTACATCCATCTAGGAGTGGTGAGATTAAAAACTAACTGGAAACTGGGTGCTTTTCTTTTTTCTATAGAGTACATAAATAAATGAATGACAGATTTCCCCATTATAAAACTACTGACTTCTCTGAATTAAAAAAATAATCCTGAAAGTTAAATTCATTTTTGTATCATTATTTGTATTTATGTGTTTACTATGCTATTAGTCTTTACATAAAAAGTAATGATGCAAAAACTTTTTTTATAGGATTATGCTAAAGAGAGATATGGAATATCTTCAATGATACAATCACAAGAAAAACCAGGTTAGTAGCTATATGACAATAAATAAAGCTTTTTTCTTTCTACTCCAGGAAAGCTCTTCATAAAGTTTTAAAGGTTGGCATAACTAAAGACATAACTCTGAAGGCATAATTCTCAAAAACTTAAATGATATTAATAACACAAATAGATGCCATAACCTTGTGTGAACGTTGTCAGTGTAGGGTACCTAATCTAGAAAAGGAAGAAAATACTTTAAATGAGTATTGTAGGTTAAATGACATATTTTAAATGGTAAATTACATTTTAAAAATATTCCTAAACACTTAGGTAAGATTTAACTATGGTATAGAGGATAAAAGAAGAGTGGCTAATAACTGCCTTCATCAGATGCAGCCTTTTTGCATGCTTTAATGAAACTATCTCCTTTACTCAACCCTGCCAACTTCTCTGACAGTTTTGGCTATTATTAAACAATAATTCTACTTGACTCTGCAAACATTTATTTTCTCATTTAATCCTTAAAACATCCTTACAAACTCAAAGGAATCAAAGTTTAAAGATAAGAAACTTGCCTCACACAGCCAGAATCTGCCAGATTTGGGATCAGAACTAAGGCTGTCTGACCCTAAAGCCCATGGCTTTTTCCATCCTCTTTATTCCTGTGGCAGTACTATGATTTGAGTTTTAAAGGTCCTCCACCACCACCACCCCATTTTGTTTACTTTTAGCCTGAGTAGGAATGAAACTAACTATTCTTAGACCCCAGTCTATCACAGCTTCCTTTTTTGTTAATGTATGTTGACATCTTTATATTTCTTTGAAATTGACTTGTCTAATGTTGTTTCTCTCAGACCTGTAGATTTTCTCTTTGTAAATGTTTACCTTTTATGTGTGTAATTTCAACAGACTTAATCTTAGTCGGCTATTTACCAGTCTTTATTCTTTTGGTAGACACATCAAATGCTCCAATGAGTATTTCCTTTGAGTGTCATGTCAGTGCTCAAAAAGCTGTGGATTTTGGACCATTTCAGATTTTCGGATTATGATACTCAACCTATATAAAATGGACCACAATGCTATGAGTAGGGGATGACATTCCCCTGCCAGGGCAAGCAGTAGGAGACACTAAGACTTTCTTTTCAGCTTTGGTATCTTACTCAACTGAATTTCCTTGAGATACAGCACAGAGAAGCTCACTGTAGTTTGAAACCTTTACATAAGCCCCAAGCAGCTGTTGACATAATTGCTATTCCTATTTGGCCAGCAAATCCACAGACTGCCATGTTCTTCCACTTACAAGTTTCCCCCACCAGAGGGAAAGATAATCCATGTATGTAATATGTTTATAGTAACACAACAATAAAATTCTACCTTGCTTTTTACTTCTGTAAAAATCCTAATCCTTTGGTTTCCTTTCTCATCTTCTCCCATTTCTTCAAATTCCTTCACTCTAGTGCCAGTGACTCTTAAAGGTGTGGGATAGGCATGAGTTTTTCAAACTGAAACCCTACTGCTGATCAATGACTCAGCCTGTTATGCTGGTGGGAGTATAACATATGCTTCAAGTATGTTGAGATACATTAAAGGTTGAGAACTCCTGTGCTAATTAATTGGAATGCCACAAGAAAAGAAGGATTGTTACCCTTTTTCTCTTCCAAATTGCTATTAAAATTACCCTAATCTTCACATAAGTTTTTAAGTCCACTCTTTTAGATTTAGGCTATTCTATTTTGTATGGTTTTGAGTTTTAGTCTTGGTGTTTTCAAATATACCTTTTAAACTGTGCTCTTTCACACTTTCTTTTGCCTGAGTTTACAGAGCAGACTTGAAAGTTGGTGTAACTCATAAAATCTGTTGGCAGTGTTTTGCAGAAATCGTCTTACTATGCCAATGGCTTTAACATTCCCCTTTCATTCTTTTTGCTTTTGGCCATGAGAATCATGGTATTCTATAAATCAGTTTCTCTTTACAACTTCGTGTTTGCTTCAGGAGACAAATTATAAATACATTTAGTCAAAGCAGGTAAAATATACAGTACTTATTATTTGACTTAATTATAATATCCCAAAAGGTATTCTTGATATTGTAATGCCATATCTATTACTATGTTTTTAGCTAATACTTAATTTTTTCTCTGATAAAATTATTGCATGTTTAGAAGAATAGCAAAATGTTCCTGAATATTATGTAGCTGACTTTACATAATGGTTGTTTTGTTACTGTTTCCTGTTTGGGAGACTCTAAGTGGTTGTAATATTTTGTCTAGTATTCAGAGACATGATAGTTAGGGCTCATGTACAGCCAAAAGGCTCATATACCTATAGGAAACAAACTATGAGATGGCATTAAGCATGATTGAAAGTAGCTTCTTCAAGGCTTTCTCTGCCTTTTGGCTCTGCTTTTTTTAGGATATTGGCCTCATTCCCTCATCCTGCAAACTCGTGTAGTGGGAAGGGTGGTGGCTGCAGCCTTGGGTCTATACCATGTCAGTTCAGTGACCTCAGGGAGCAGAGCTTCATCCCCAGCATCTGTGTATTAAGTCCCAGAAAAGGACTTTGATTAGCTCAGTTTGAGTAACATGCCCTTCCCTGGATCAGTTACTATGTCCTAGGGAATGGAGTGCTGCAACTGTCCTCCCCTGTAGCTTGCTGACTTATATACTATGACAGGCAAAAGTGCCCCATGTCCACTAAAGAATAGGCAGGTGAGGACAGGCTGTGGATGGCCTTATAAGTTATTGAAGTTTTCTGTTTACATTTTGAAACTCTTTGGCTGCAATGTAGACTAAATTAGAAGGGGACCAGGGGATTGTCAGTTAGGAGGCTATTACTATAGTTTAGGTGGGAGATAATAATAGTTTGGCTTAGAAGTATGGCAATGAAGATGATAGAAAATTGGATGGATTTTTGAGATATATTTAGAAAGTACAATTCACAAAACTTGAGGCAAATTGTATATGGAAGGTGATAAGACATTGTTGTTGAAGATTGAGAATTTAAGATGATACCAAGTACTTATGCTACCTGTCAGAAAAAATTGTGATTTCTTTGTATATGCTGAATTTAAAAATTGTTTCACTATTTTTTGCAGATCGAGTTTTGGTTCGGGTTAGAGACTTGACTGCACAAAGAGCTGATGAAGTTGTTTGGATACGTGCAAGAGTTCACACGAGCAGAGCTAAAGGTAAGATTGATTTAATGATTGAAGTCCTTTTGGTAAGAACTCTGTATTTTTGGTCTTATAAATTCTTCGCAAAGTATTTGTCTTTAAAGACAAAAGAATTGTTTTCTTTCTTAAATCACTGTAAAGTATTAGGCTATGGTTAATCAATTTTAGGTTCCTGTAAGACATCGTTAAAAATGATTTGCCCCTGAAGACTTTGATGAAACCTATGACTTCAAACTACATTTCTAGCATCTCTCAAAAGTTTAATTATTTAAGTGAAGAGAGTTTTTGAGAAGGTTCTCATGGTTATAACAGGAACTTTTGAGTGAGAGAGATCTGTTTGAATCCTGGATCTGCACTTACAATCTGTTACCCCAGGCAAATTGCCTAACCTTTCCCATCCTCAGTGTTTTCTCTTAACATGAGTATGTAATAAAACCTAGCTTAGAAGATGTTATGTAGTAATATTTACAATGCCTTTAGCACTGTACTTGGTGCAAAGTAAGCCTTCAATAATTAAGTGATGTTAATGAGTATGACAGTTAACTTACTTGCCTTCCATTATAGTTTTTTGTATATCTTATTTCATGTAGTAGGCTCCTGGAAGGTCCTACTGCTTATTTTATTTCTTTGTTTGGTGCACAAACAACACCTAATAAGAACCCTACTGAATAATAGATGAATAAATAAATACTAAACAAGGTGTTTTATATACATATAATAGAGCATTGTCTTCTGGGTCCTATACTTACTGCCCAGTAGCTCACTGTAATTGAGATCAGCATGTACTTTAAGAAACTAGAAAACAATTATAAAGCATCACATAAGCAAACAAATACACAGGTTGAGTATCCCTTATCTGAAATGCTTGGGACGAGAATTCTTTTAGATTTTGATTTTTTTTTTTTTTAATATTTGCATTACCAGTTGAACATTCCAAATCTGAGATCCAAAATGCTCCAATGAGTGTTTCCTTTGAGCATCTTGTTGGTGCACAGAAAGTTTTGGATTTTTGAAACGTTTCAGAGATTTGGATTTGGAATCTGCTAGTGTTTTTTTTTCCATTTGTGACAAATTATTTTGGTCTCTTAACTGACAGTGCCTTCCTAAAAATCTGAAACAAATTGCAAGGACTTTGTAATGATGATACAGGCTGATAGGGGGTTAAAGTCTATCTGTGAATGTTAACTGTTATGAACAGACAAAAGGTTAATAGCTTTAAAAGCTTCCTAAAATTTTTTTAAGTTTTTCCTAAATTTTTAATTTAGGAATTCATAGCAGTTTTTATTTGTATAAAGTCTATATTATTCTATCTATCTCAATAAATAATTAATGGATAGTAGGAATTTTGGAAGGATTAAATGGAAATACCTTTTTCCTTTTAATTAAAAACTAATACACATACAAACAGTGCAAAAACTAAAGAATAAAGCACAAAGTGTAGCTCACTTGTTGCTCTATTCCTAAGGTGATAAAAGGGCACTGAAAAAGTTTGAAATGATATTCAGAATTGTTTTAAATAAAACCAAACAGTTTTTTCCTATTGCAAGAACGAATATACCAGCTCTATATCATCATTTGCAGTATTTTTAATTTGCAAAGTAGAAACATTTGTTCTTCTGGATTATAGAAGTATTAACAGTTTATTGTAAAATACTCAATGTAAAATTAAATCAGGTATAAAGTGGAAAATCAACTATAATCCTTCTTTTCAGATTTGTTTTTATGAATGTGTGTGTGGGGGGTGTATTTGAGCTAAAAGTTTTACAGTACTTTGTATTTTTTTTTTTTTTTTGAAGTAAGGTCTCACACTATTGCCCAAGCTGAGTGCAGTGGCATAATTGTAGCTAACTGCACCTCAAAATCTTAGGCTCAAAAGATCCTCCTACTTCAGCCTCTCAAGTAGGACTCCCTGGGACTACAGGCATGTTCCACCACACCCGGCTAATTTTTTTTTTTTTTTTTTCCGTACAGATGAGGTTTTCCTGTGTTGCTCAGGATGGTCTCAAATGTACTATTTTTTAACTTGTACTTCTTTTTCATTTTATCTTGGACATCTTTTCATGCCTGTGCATATAGTCCTGCCAGGCATCATTACTTTTTAATGGTTTCTGAGTATTTGTTTATATATTTTTTTCCCATTTGTGTGAAGTTCAGGTTTATTCATTGTTACTTTAATTTGCATTTCACTAATTGGTTAGATTAAACTTCTTTTCATGATGAGTAAGACATTTTAAATTTCTTTTGTATATTGTTCTTTTCCTGTTCATATTTTTATGATACAAGAACAGATTTTTTTTTTCGGCCGGGCGCTGTGGCTCACGCCTGTAATCCTAGCTCTCTGGGAGGCCGAGGTGGGCGGATTGCTCAAGGTCAGGAGTTCAAAACCAGCCTGAACAAGAGCGAGACCCCGTCTCTACTATAAATAGAAAGAAATTAATTGGCCAACTGATATGTATATAAAAAATTAGCCGGGCATGGTGGCGCATGCCTGTAGTCCCAGCTACTTGGGAGGCTGAGGCAGAAGGATCGCTGGAGCCCAGGAGTTTGAGGTTGCTGTGAGCTAGGCTGACGCCACGGCACTCACTCTAGCCTGGACAACAAAGCGAGACTCTGTCTCAAAAAAAAAAAGAACAGATTTTTTTTTCCTAAGTCTATTTGCATTTCAGTTTTTTGAGGGAAAGAGAGGCCCTACCTTCCCAGCTGAGCCATGGAATCAATCTGAAGAAGAGGTGAAAACTGCGGATCCTGTTTCAGTCTACAATAATTGTAGACTGAAACAGGATCCGCACTTTTCGCCCTGCTGGCGGGTGGGCACTTCTCATCTCTGAGAGTAAGCGGCCTGAGGGAAGGGGGAACCCGGACCCGCACTTTCCAGCTCTCACAAAGGCCAGCTCCAAGAAATTATTCCTGAAAGCATGGTGAATGGGGCTAACTTTCTTGAAGTAACCTTGATGAAAGGGGAGATAATTCTTTAAAGAATGGTTAAAGAGTTCCCCACCTTAGAACTTCATATAAATGAATCATATGATATGTACTCTTTTGTACAAGTTATAGATATCAGTAGTTTGTTCATTTTATTAATAATTATTGAATAATAGGTCTTTGTATGGACATACCATAATTTGTTTAACCAAACACCTATTGATGGACATTCCAGTAGAACTTTTTCTATTTGGGGGCTGTTCTGAATAAAGCTGCTATTAACATTCATGTAAAAATCTTTGTGTGCACATATGCTTTTATTTTTCTTAAATGGAATTTCCGGGTTTTAGGGTAGGTATATGTTTAACTTTACAAAAAACTGCCAAACTTTTCCAGAGTGATTATATCATACTGTGATTTTGAAATGCCATCTCGCCTTGAAGGAAACTAAAGCTACTTAAAGAAATAGCAGATATTAGGTGTGGGGCAGGAATTGTATGAGGTGAACCTGGAATATCTTGTCCCAAGAGGTAGCAAAAAAGATAGAAAAGATTATGTGGGTCATATGGGAAGGACTTAGGGACCAATTTGAAGTGGCTACCATAGGCCAAAAATAGCACAGTTTGAGTATCAATAACTGAGGTAAATTTAAACATATCAGATATATTTAAATTCATAAGTTTATAATAATGTTATGGCAAGCAAAAAACCTAGTTGGTCACCAGTGAAACCAGTTCATTTTGAAAACTGGTAAATACCATTTTTGTATGGATTGTGTATCATTGGCTAACCAAATGGTAGATGTGGGGAAGTATCTGTTCAGAGAACTATTCCAGCTAATGAAATGAAAAAAGAATGTTAGAGCATCACCATTTTGCCCCTAGTAAATAATCTAGGCATTGATAATCAGTGATTGCTAGCATCACAAAAGAGAAATAACCAGAAATATTATAGATCTACTCATGGAAGAACACCAACATTACCTATGAAGTAGTCTTACCCAAAAAATTGTATCTAAATTTCATTAAGCCTTTGGGTACAATTACTAATTTATAGCAAAACCACAGGACAAAGGAATATGTTAAATGATAACGGGATGCAGTCAGTGAAACCCAGAATATAAGAAACTACTGGGCAAGAACAACCTGGTTTCTTCAATAAATAAATTATAAGGGGAGGGGAAACCTATGGATTAAAACAGACTTAAGACACCTCTCAACCAGTCACTTATTTGGATCTTGATTTAAATATACAGTAAAAAAAAACAAAAGTAGAACAATTGAGACTCTTTGAAATTTGAACATTGACATGATATGTTGAAGAATTAATTTTCTCAGTTGAGATATTTGCACAGTAGTAACTTTTTTTTAAAGACCTCATCTTTTAGAGATTTATACTTATATATGTATAGACAAAATAATAGGGCTAGGGTTTGCTTCAGAATATAGTACAGGAATTGATAGGTGGGTGGGCTAAAGCTGAAATGAGAATGGCTATAAGTTGATAATTATTGAATCACCTGAGATGGTAGGTAGACAGTTGTATCTTTTACAAATAATGAACTTTTTGTCCTTTTCTTTCAAATGTTTGTATCTCATTTCTTGTTTCTCTTTGCAACAATTAGTAGATTCTCTAGTACTGCAAGGATTCTCACAACGAAGAATTTTTCAGGCAGCAGAAATTTAAGCTTCTGATAAGTTATTTTAAAAGACTGTGGGAGTTCTACATAAAATGTCATTGGAAAACAATGCCAGAGTTTTAAAAGTAGATTAAAAATGGTTTTATTCTAGGCCAGGTTTTCTGTTTATCAGAAATAGATGTTGAATTTTATCATACTTTTTTCCCAGCATTTCTTCCCCTCAAAATATAATTGTGTTGTGTGATGTACCATGTTTCCCTGAAAATAAGACCTACCCAATAAAATAAGCCCTAGAAGGATTTCTAAGCATTTGTGCAATATAAGCCGTACCCCGAAAATAAGACCTAGTTATGGGTGTGGCTATGCAGCATATCTGCACAACCCATGCATTTCGTTGCGGAGCAGTAAAGAAGATGAGCAGCCCTTCTCATCTGCCCCATGAGTTGCTCAACAT